TAAAAAAAAGTATCAAATTTTTATAGAAAAGTATCAAGCAAAAGAAATGTATTGAAAAATTAAGAAATTAATTTCTTAATTTTTTCCTTTCTAAAAAAGATAATATATAAAATTTTGAAATTTTTAAATATAGCATTCATAGAAAGTTATCATAAAAAAAAAAAAAATAAGAATATACGAAAAAGCTTAAATTACCTCCTAATGAATGATACGTCACCATAACCTTATTAGGAATATTTATGAAACTTCATATTACACGATTGTTTCACATCACAATAATAATAAAAAAATTTTAATTCACTTATAACCTATAAATGAAATTCTTCGTAAAAAATGGTTTTATAATACACGGATAATTCTCATTCAGAACATTGATTTAAAAAACTGAATTCATTCTATTCGCGTGGGAACAACTGTATCCAAGATAAATTTCGATATTTTACAAGTAGAACAGTCGATTCTGTCTCACGAGCGCAACAATTCCACCAGAAAACAATGTTGGAGAGCAACGGCAGCAGTCATTCGTTCGACACACGTCTCTAGCAACAAGTGTTTGTCGTGGTTGTCCATCGGTAACGAAGCCCATATTAGTGTTCGTGGCGGTATTCTGTCTGGAGGGAAACGCATTCCCAACGGTCTTTGATCCTACACGAATTCAATTTCAACACTGACCTAGCGTATCATCGTTTGATTTGATTGACGTTTTATCAGCTCGAAATGACTGTATTTCTTGGAATAACGTCTACGATGAAAATCTAACGACTTCAAAACGACTTCGATGATATCAAGAAGCAAGAATCTTCAATTTTAAAATTACGTTTATATTTCGTCAAGTTTCTGTCAAGTTCGTCGCAGCCGTTATGTGTCGAATTACTACCATCTATCGACCTATCTACGAAGTTTCGACGTAACAGAGGGGAAACTCGGGAAAACTGGTTCTCACACTTGGCTAGACTCAATTTCACCTTGAACTACACTGACCTAAATCACTGGTATTGTTCATCGTCACATTTTCGACCGCACGAATCGTTTTTTCGTTATTCGCTGATTAACGAAACGAGATATTTAGCTCTTCGATATTTATCTCGTCTCGATGAAAAATTAAACTTATCGATTGAACATCAATTATTATTTCGATATTATTCAAAAATAATACGAAAATTTTCCTTCAGGATTGATTTCAGATCCTGATTTAGATCCGTTCGAGGCAAAAATGTCAAAGTCGGGGGGGAGGGCGAAAATTTCGCTCGTGTTGTGGACGACACCAGCGCGGTCGCTCGTTGCGAACTGGATCGGCTTTCAAGCCGGCAGACACGTTGTGCGGAATTTACGGCGCATCGCGCCTGTATGCGCGCGCGACATAACCATTGCAATTTTACGGACTTTCTGTTTCTCTCTCCCTGGGAAAGTCACGTGCGCCGCGTGAATCTTCATTTACGTCGATTATTATTCTGTCATCTTAATCCTGTGTGCAATCTTTCGTCACTTCGAAGGACCCGGAAAAAAATTTATGTCAACATGGATTACGGTCAATGAAAGGAGAATTATGGAAGTTGTTTGACCAAGGGTGAATATGATTGATCGATGTATCCTATCCGTTATTAACATCGTGATACTCTTAAGTTTATTTTGCGCACCTTATATTTTGCGAATGTTCCATAACTTTTTCGAAAATTGTAAAAAAATTCAGATTTATTTATCGACATCTGTAGTATGTAATTTTACGGTTCTTTTGTACTTATTAATAAGGAAAATAAGAGTATGCGAATCATTATCGATCAGAATAATTTTTATAAAAAAAAATTACATAAACAATTTTTAACATTCTATCTACTTTTTTTAATTCGCTATCAATATTGTTTACTCTTTGACGTAAAATGTAAATGACCGCGTTTCGATACTTTTAAATAAGGATAAAAATATAATTCTTATAACTACACGATAAAAAGAATTTCTTTGTGTGCAAAAATCAATTTACGATAGACTCTCGAGATAATTCCACGAGTTATATCTGAATCGATCTGACTATCAACAAATTCGCAAAAAAACTTCGGTTGCTTCTTTGCTGTTATCCACCGTGTACTTAACGTGTATAATTTGCATGATAAGGCTCGTTCGTATCGCGGCCCCTTTTAGATGTTTCGCGAAGGAAAAAAAGAAATAGAAACAATTTGCAATGTGCAAAGCTGTGGATCAGTGGTGGCATCGTTTGCTCAAAACATAAAATACAGTCGATTGTTCACGGTTCAATTACTCTACATAGGGAAAGCATTTCAACGACGCTTAGATAATCGATATTCAATCACACTTGCGAAACAGCCTTTACGCGAATTGTTACAATGGCCGTTTTACCGCGAAACTTAGTGTTCGTTACGTAACTAATAAATTTTATGATAGAGAAATTTTCTCTTTTTTAAATATTTAAATCTAATTAAAAAATTATTGATCTTTTTTTATTTTATATGTCAAAGTATTTAATTGCTGTTTTATTCATATCTTTAAATATTGTTATGGCCACTGCGATGAAAATCATTTTAATTGAATATCATTAATTAAAATTTGCTTAGAAATTAAATTTCAATTCCTAAATTTTATCATTCAATTTTTATGAACAAATTGTAAACAAATCTATATAAATATATCTTTGACTGCTATACATGTTAAATATTATACATGTTCTCTACTTGTTTTCTATTCTACGGTTATTTTTTTGTTAAAAAAAAAAAAATGAATTCCAAGAATTTTAAACTAACAAATTACTTGAAATTACCTGAAAAAAAATTATTTATACTGAGATTGCAACATGCATACGACCTTTAGATACGTTCTCCGTATAGAAGTGTAACCGCTTTTTATCTTGTGCAGTCGTTCAACTATGGTAACTCTGGCGATAAGACTTTAGATAAGCTTAGGAGCATGTGCTCATAAATGTAACGTGAATAAGAGAAAGTACTAAAAACTAGAAATTTATTCTTAAATCTTTCAAGAATCTTTCAAGAATTTTAAGAAAATAAGGAATTCGAAAAAAACTTAAAAATTGTTGAATGTAAATAAAAACACGAAGAAAAGAAAAAAAAATACGATAAATAAGAAAAATAGAATCAAGAAAAAAGAGTGAAAAATAAGTGTTTTATACGTTCAATATTATTTTTTTAAATTTATTTGTAAATGTATTTATCACTTTAACTTCGAATTTTCACGCATTCTTGACGAAGATCCAAAAATTTTCGATCATTAATCCGCGTTTAAAATTATAATAATATTTCAATAAATAAATATATTTCTTTATTATTATGTTCCTTGAATGTAAAGATAAATCATTTATTGAAATATTTTTTCGCGTATGCAAAATTGAAAAATTACTGAAATATCATCTGATGATAAAGACTGACAAAGTCATGAAGTTCCGAAAATCTTGATAGTTTGCCAAAATCTGTCAATTCAAGTTTGTTTTATAATTTTAAGAAAATTTAAATAGAATCAAATCGTAGACACTATAAGACTATGTATATAAAGATTATGTAAATTTGTAAACAAAAATAAAATAACTGACATAAAAAGTCCATAACATATTAAATTCAATATAAAAAATTGTAATAAACTGTTAATATTTTATTAAATTCAATAGTAACAAATTTTACTATTTTTCACATTCAAATTCGAATAAATTAGTTAGATCAACAGACTTTCACATTATGGTATATAATTATCATAATGTTTTTAAATTGATAATTATAAATTCTTTTATTTTGTATGAAAGCTTCATTGTGAAATAAATTCAATAACCTATTTCCTAGTTATAATTAATAAAGCAATGTTTCGATGATTGTAAATATAATCAAATTTTATATTTTATTTTCTATAGTCATAATGTTGGAAATGACATTAAAATAATAAACATTTGGCGCCATCAAACAGCAAAACAGGAGAGAGTAAAAACTACCAATACGAGTTGATAATATAGAGAAAATGCTTTATCATTTAAGAAGTGTTCTACATTTCCATCTTTACCGACTGTCAAATAAATTTTACCGACCGTTACAACTGGGTCAATTCGTTTGTATCTTTAATGATGAAAAAAGAAAATATGCAACGAATACTAATTTATTAAATTGAATTTATTATAATTAGAAACGTAAATAAAAAAAATAATCTATTTTTATGGTATGAAAACAGCTATAAAAAAAATTATTTTTTTTTTTATATGATTTAACTGAATCTCTCTCTTAGTTTTCAGTTTTCATCATGACCTACATCCTCTTGCGTTTCATCAAATCGATATGTACAAACAGTGTACATAAAATAAATTGTTAGAAGAACGAAAAAATAAGTAGTTTATATAAACATTTTTGCTTATGTTTCCTTTATTACCGATTAAGAATTGTATTGTTATTCGTGCAAAAATCATAGAGTAAAAATAATGCAGATATGCAACATGATAAAAATATTACTTATCATTGAGTTGTAAACAAGAAATATCTCGGAATTTGTGATAATTGATAAATATGATGCATCATAAAGTTTACTGTCATCAAAGTCAATGACAAAAAAGTAAAAGAGATATTTGTATACATATAACGTGTTTATATTATTTTAAATAATAACTTAAAAGCACACAACAAAGTAAACAACAACTAAAAACATAAATATCGATTGTCAGTACTTCAATAAAGTCCTATCAAAAATATAAAAATCAATATTATTGTATTGAAATCAGTATTTAAATATGTATACATTTAATTGAAACATTTTTATTAACCCAATAAAATAAAAAATATGTTTAAAAATTAAATAAAATTATTTTTCAAGATTGCATTACTTTCACAATATATTTCATATGTTTTAGCTATATAGAACATTCTATGTAATATTTGTTTTCAACGATTTTTAAATAACGATGTCTTATTAAATTTTTCAATATCTACGCAGCATTATAAGACTGAAGTATTTGCTAAATTTAAAAACTTTGGGTTTAATCGAAGGTTAAAGTTAATACTCACCCCTCTCGCATCTCGGAAGAGAATGGCGGCGTGCACAGGATCTAGACAAGCATCTGAAGCTCTATGAGGGACGGCAGGTGTACCCAAAGAAAATCTTCTGGCACCTGGATCCAAAGAACTCCTTCTAAGCGCTCCTATAATTTAAAATTCATAATTTATAATTAACACCTCATTTGTCTAACGCAATGCAATTATTAATATTATAAAATCGAGTATCTGATATAAAAATGGTAATACATCTACATTTTAATGAATCTAAAAAGAAAAATAAATTTCAAAGAATGTCTATATATATCTATATATAATATATAATTAATAAATATCTATCGTCATATTATTATAAAATATTTATTGACTTCAATGATATATAGGTTATATATTATATAGGTTATAATATTATAGGTTATAGTATTATTATTATCCTGCAAACTTTTATATTTAAATTATTACAGAAAATATTGTGACCCAATTCGTTTACATATTATTATACGTATGGTTAATAGATATGTAAATTGAGTTTATAGTAACCCATATATAATTCATCGAATACCTGTTAGACATTTTTTTTCCTGACAAACTACATCCTCACCGGTTGACCATGATGGTAGTTAATTTGAACGGGAATTACAACACTGACCTTAACTCGTTACAATTTAACACAATTTATGAGCATACGTGCACAATCTTCCATGGGGTTACGTAAAATGTAATTCCTTATTTACATTTCAATTGCAATCCACGTTCAAACCCGCTTATGTGTCTCCACGATTCATCTTATACTTTCCAACCTCACTTTTTTCTATTCGAAATAAATGTAATACTTTTACAATAATTCATATGTTAAACCTTTTGAAAATACTTTTCAATAAATGATATTAGAATTGTTCATTTTGATTTAGAAAAAAACATGTTTATCAATGATTAATATTATCGCATAAATAGAATGCAAAAATGTTTTACTTATTATTTTGGCAAAAAGAAAACGATATATTAAGTATTTATTAAACACTTGTTGTTAATTATTTAACGTGAAACGAATATTTTTTAATTTTTTTAATATTAACACATTTGCGAATAAATTAATAATTTAAAATTTGAATTTTATTTTAATATTTTAATATTGAAATTTTTTAAAACAAATTATATTTAAATAAATTATTTTCAAAAATCTTATATAATTTATTATTAATTTATATATTTTTATAACTAACAATTCAACTTATACTATTTATATAAAAAAAACGAATCGGTTTAGTACGTACCTTTCTAATAGCGAAAGATCATTCTAACCTATATATTCTTTACAAGAAAACAATAACCTTTCATGTGACACAAAGTATCTGATTTCTGTTTCGAGTTATATCACGTTTGCATTCCTCGTAATACGAAAAACAAAAGATTCAAATTCTGCACGTTCTTGCAGTTTCGACGGTGTTAAGAACGTGAAGGTTTCCGACCATGTGTTCTGCAAAATAAACTTTTTCTCGGTTGAAGAACGTCGAACGTGTAGTATTACAGCGCCATGGTAGACCGGAATTCACTATCCAATTGCACGCTATCCTTCTTCGTTTTCATTGCATTCGAATATTTTATCGTGTACAAAAAATTGGTGTATTTAAACAATTAATATGGTGAAATTCAATACGGAAAATAAATTTTTTGATGTTATTAATTAATATATAAGAATATTCATAATTTTTTACGTGTCTTAATTTTTATAATTGAATTGTGAATTGTGATTTTGATTTTACAAATACGTTCTTCTATTATATGGAATAGGAAAAAATTTTTGAAATAGGAAAATAGGAAAATTGAGTTTGGAAATTTTTTTATTACATTTAATACTCGCATTTATTCAGATGATATTTCATCTCATTATTATCTAATTGATTTACTCGATTAATTTTACCTTGAATAAATTTAATCTTTTTTGTCTTAATACTTTTTTTTTATTTTTTTGGGTATTAAATAATATTTGCATTTTATACGTATTTATATTTCTTTAATTTTACATAAATGCATGAACATTCGTAATCTATTGACGATACACTTTTTTTTATCACGTTTAGGTGAAAAGGCCTAGTAAAATTATAGAGATAGAAATCTCAAACGAAATCGAAATTCTGCTTTTAAAGCAGAATTTATTTGTTCTCGCAGAGAGACGAAAAAAGATATTCAAGCCACAAGGATACTTTAAATATCATCAAATAAGTTGAATGAAAAGAAAGCGAAAAGAAAGCGAAAAGAAAGCGAAATAAATGCGGATAAAATTTTTAAATAACAAATAAATCATTAAAATTTATCGTTTGATAAATATTGCAAAGAATCTACTCGATTTCGAAAAGAAAAGAAATTGCAATTTTTATTTAATTCGAGTGAAAGATCAAAAAATTATGAAGCCGTGTTCTATAGAGAAAATAGTGAATAGTGAAAATTTTTACATATTCGAGAAATCAGTCTTTCCTATCATCGCCTGAATTATTGCCGAGTTCTCGAAAGGTTAAATCTATCTGAAAGCTTAGAGAGAGAGATGAAGGAGTTTAATATCGTGATTATTTGCATTGTACTGTCAAGGTAAGAAATCTTGTTGAAACAATAGGATACAATAGAACACCCATTACTTCTTTCATCTCCATTTCTAATGTATTCAAGTCTTTCCCCACTACCACCATTACTTTTCCCCCACTTCTCTAGTGGCGATTACTCGTAAAATTCGTTTTTCTCGTTGAAAAGATAGGCGACGTATAACGTATCCGCAATAATATTCGCTTCCTCAGCTTGAAACGATAGCCTTATATCCTCGGTTTATCGTGATTGTTTATTTCTCTGGCGCATTCTCGTCTACGCAGTCAATGACAGGCGCCACGGATGACAGACTCTTCGTCAATGATAGGTCAAGAGAATATCTATATATTACACGTTGTTACGAGTTGTGAGATTTCGAAAATCGCGCAGTCGTCCATTATCATTTTTTTTTATCGTGGATATGGATTTGAAAATGAAATGGATAGCGCGGAAATTTATAGTAATTAATTAATTAAATAAATAAATAATTATTTACTTAGAATATAATATAATTTTAAGAATAAAATTATATTAATAATATTATTGTTACATTATTATTATTAATTATTAAAAATTATGTGATTGAATATTAATTTGGTGATCAACTTTATACGAAAATTTCCGAATATTAAATTTTTCAAAAGATTGCGGTCGAAAAAGTTCAAATTGATTAGAGCAATGGCTCGAAAGTTGGGGAAGCTCGAGTCAAATTCCGGATGAATAGACAAATAGGTTAATTCTTTTTATTCATGAAATTTTCAGAATTTACTTTGAATAGAACATATAACTTTGTAAACATATAATTTTCTTCAAACTTTTCCTTTTTTTTTTTTTTTCGAATTCTTTAGAATCTTTAATATAATGAAAAAGAATTTTATAAGTTAAATTAAAATTGACAGCTCTGGTCAGATAAATTATAAAGAAAGTTCATCTATGACCTGAACTGATCAGTAATAATATAGATTGAAAATGAATTAATTTTTAAGATTATTTTAACAAATTTTTTTTGTTATCATTATTATATAATTCGAGACAATTTAATATATAGAAAGAAAATGAATATTTTTGTATATTAATTTAATTCAAATATTCGATGGTATTAATTTTTTATATTTGCAATATTTTTGAGATAGAAAGGTGACCTTTAAATTTTACATATACTTTTTTTATCGAAACTCAATATTTTTTATTCGGCGTAAATAATTTATTTTAATTAATCAAATTTTTTTTGGAGATATATATATATTATGTACATGATTTTGAAAAAATATCTCGAGAGAAGAAATTTTTTAAATGTGAAAGCTATTAATTTCGTAAAAAAACTTCTACAATCATTTTTTTAAAAAATGGAAAAACCAGGATGATTTTTCAAAACTTTTCTATTTTTCGTAAAAAAAAAAAAAATTCAAACTTGTATACAAATTTTTGAAAACAAATCACAATGGTTCACCTTGTTTTTCGATATCGTACCATGAATCATTAAAAAAAAAAACTCTAGTTGCATTTTGCGAAAATAAAAAATAAAAAATAAATGTTCATAGAAACATAGATGTAATCATATGTATTGCATAAAATTTATACAATATAGTCGCTGATGTCACTCTAAGAAAGAGATGATATTATGAAATATTTAGTCTTTTTTCTGTCCAAGACTCCCGGATTTATATTCCCTTTCGAGCGTCGCTGCTTCTCAAATAGCTAAAAACAGAATCCTCCGCGTCAAACGATACTTTTGCAAAACTTAGAAACTATTGACGTTAGAGCAAAGTTGTACATAAATAAGACATCTCTTTTCGTATATAGATAGATAAAAAAAAATAGATCTGAGGATTTTTTCAACTTTGAAACTTTTTCCAAGACTATAAATTTTTTTTAATATTTCTATAATTCTTCAAAATTACTTTTTTCTTTATTTTCAAAACTTCAGATTCAACATTTGAATTATTAAATTTTTAAAATTTTCAACTTCCATCTTCTATCTGAGATCTTTTAAATAATTCAATTCCTATTTAATCTCATTAATTTTCAAATTTGTTTTTAATCTGAAAATTTTCAAGTTTAATTTTCTATTGAAATTTTTTCATCTTATTCCGGAATTTTCAAATTCCATCTTCTATCTTAGCTTTTAAATAATTCAATTCCTATTTAGTCTCATTAATTTTCAAATTTGTTGTAGATTTTTAATCTGAAAATTTTCAAGTTTAATTTTCTATTGAAATTTTTTCATCTTATTCCCATACTATTTTCGAGTGAAGAATTTAAAAAAAAAAAAAACATTTTCTAAAAACATTGATCCCATTTGACGACTTATTAACTTTACCTTATTAAACCTTTGACAACCGATTATAACGTGAAGTCGAGTCCATTGATGCATCTATAGAATGCATTAATTATCATCATTTAAAGAAGTCAGTTAATTTATTTTAAGCAAGGAGAATTCAACATCGACCTTGTGGATCGTCGAGTCGATTCGAAGGGAACTGCGTCAATGGACTCGGTTGCAGCTGCAGCACGTATTAAGTACAAGCGCGCGCGCACACATGTGCTTTGTGAGAATAAACCCAACGAA